CTTTTCAAGGAGAGGAGCGAACGGGGGTGGGGGTGGGGGGAGAGGGATGGTCAGGGAGAAAACTGCAACAATGAATGAATGGAAATCCAAAATCTCTGTAAATGTTCATTAAAATTAATAAAATAAAATGAAAAAAGAGTATCATCCATGAAGAATGCAAAAAGTCATTACAAAGGCAGAGGAGGAAGAAAAGACCAAGATGTCAGATGAGATTCTGTATAGCTGTAGAGGGCATAAAAATTGTCCCTACAACTGGAGAGCATTATGCTGAGTGAACAAACTCAGTTCCAAAAGGATAAATATTATAGAAGACCGTTGTTGTAGAATGAGTATAAGGATCCAGGAGAGGTGGGAGAGGCTGGAAGCAGAGGGATGTCGATGTACAGGGGGAAAAGGGGATTAATCATTGGGTTGTACAATTTGATGGGGGGGGGGTGTGAGGAAAATTGAAAGACTTTGTTTGAATTTGTATTAAAATTTTGTAAATAAACTAGTGTGTGGGGGAACTGTCCCTACATCACAGCCTTATTGAGAGGATTAAACCACAAAATACATGTAAAATACTTACAAGTGCCTAGTAAAATGTCAAGTTTGGTTCCTGTCCAGCTTGGGCATGTGCTACAAAGCACTTTAGCTTTGCTGATTTAAGTGTCCAGAAGCACCCAACTCAGCTCCAGTTCCACGGATCAGTAATTCTCTCCAAGTGCCTGGAGGGCTCCCCAACTCCAAGCCTAAAGATACTTTCTCACTCCTTGAGCCAGGAAGCCCACAGGTCTGTTTTATATCTAACCCAGTTCTGCAGCCTCTGCTGCCACCATTTTTCATGCACTATTTCTAGTCATCTCGAGCTATCTGATGTCACAGCTCTTTGTCTCCTAGAGTGAGGAGGTTCTCAGTTTTGATCTGGTTCTTCTTTCTTAATATTAGGTAGTGAGATCCCACTCCCTCTGGGATAGCTCATCTTAGTCTAATATGATGGTAAAAGCAGCCAACCCCCATGTTAGGTTCATCCTATTTGCGTGGTCTCACCTCATTAGGGTAACATGTACCTTATTTACATTACTAGTAAGCTATCAACTCTCCTTGGTGGGCCACAGCATCTCATATTTCTAACTCCTACAGTTACTCGGCGAGAGTTAGAAAGTTTATGTCTCAGAAGGGACTCATTCAGTATCTTCCTATAGTGGTGCATAACAAAGAAAGTTTAGCACAAACATCAGAACTGAGTCAATTCATTAAATAAAGCATACCTGATACATAAATAATATTGTTGTTAAGTGCCATTAAGTACGACTCTCAGTGAACAACAGCTAGGAACCCTGTCCTGTCCTGCACCATCCTCATCACCTCTGACACACCTGAGTCCATTGCTGCAATCACTGTGTCTTATTAAGTCTTCCTCTCTTTTGCTGACCCTCCACTTTTCCAAGTATGATGTGTCCTTTCTAAGGAATGGCCTCTCCTACCAACATGCCAAAAATGTATGAGATGAAGCTTCACCATCCTTGCCTCCAAGAAGCACTCTGTTTTACTTTATCCAAGACATATTTGTTTGTTCTTTTGGCAGCCAGTGGGATATTGAACACTCTTTTCCAACACCACAACTCTAAGGCATTGATTCACCCTTATTCACTGTCCAGCTCTCAGATGCACAGCAGGTGACTGGAAAGACTGTGACTTGAATCAGGTGTACTTTAGTCTTCAGATCAACATTATTGCTTTCTAGGACTTTAGAGAGTTTTCTGATAGCAGATTTACCCAATAATATATGTCGCCAGATCTCCTGGCTGCTGGTACCCAGGATGTGTGTTGATTGTATACTCAAGTAAGATGAAGTCTTTACAATTTAAATCTTTTCTCCATCTATCATGACGTTACCTATTGGCTCAAGGGTGAGGATTTCTGTTTTCTTGATGTTGAGATGTAATCCGTAATGAAGGCTGTAGTCCTTGATCCTCTGTAGCAAGCATCTCAAGTCCTCCTCACTTCCTGCAAGCAAGGTTGTGTCAACTGCTGAATGCAGGCTGTTGATGAGTCTTCCTCGAATCCTGATGCCACAGCACTCAATAACTATTCAGTCAGCTAATGAATAAATGAGTACTATCTAGCTTTCTTTCAAGGAACAGCAAATTATCTTAAGACTATCAAATAAAATGAAGTCAGAAATCTACCCACCTATAATAAAATGAGAATAAAACTATATCCAAAATCTGACAAGTAAACGCACAAAACAGAAAGTTAGGCTCAAACCTCTTAAATTATAAGAAGAGCTGCAGCAGCAATTTGTGGCTACAAATAGGCAGAAAATTTAATAAGTGTTAAGTTTGTTTTTCTTTTTAGGCTTTCTGGCACTAGAAAAATTTTGCTACCAACACTACTTTTACAATTTGGGGAAAAAAATAATTTTATAACACTATTCAATACAGAAAGTTAATCATTTTACAAGGGCAACAATTTCTAAATGATATTAAATTGTTTCTGGACAAGATAGACAAAAACAAAAAAACACCCAATCTCATTGCTGTTGAGTCAGTTTCATCTCATAGTGACTCTAAAGGCAGGGGAGGACTTCGTCCCAAGGCTGTAAATCTTCAGAGGAGCAGATTATCACACCTTTCCCCACAGAGCAGCTGGTGAGCCTCATCTACTGACTTTCAGTTAGCAACCCAATGCTTAACTCATTTCTTGCCAGGGTTCCCTGAACAAGGAAGAATATTTTTAATTCTTGTATATCCACAAAATGATGTATCAACAATTTTTTCCCATTTCTAATTAAAATAAAAGGAGGAAATGCTTGAATTTCTCTATAAATACCACCCCTACAAATACTAATAGTCACTGCATACCATCCTCAAGCAACAGAATCCTAAGGAGAAATAAATATGTGGCTGAGGGAAATAAGAACTAACCTTTCACAAAACTGCTGGCAATGGAACACAGAAAGGAGAATGAATAAATAAATGTGTAAATGCACTACAAATACGGTAAATACTGATTTCACAACCTTCTGTGTAGAAGATTCAAATGAAGCAAAAGGGTATCAGTGACACAGAGAGAGAACCAGAGAAGAAAAGGAGAATGTGGGAATAAAAATGCTTTTAACAACCATGACTATCGTTAAACCAAGGAAAACAGGTGCAGCCAGTAGAAGGACCTCCATGTCCGAGCTTACCTGTGCATATTCTCTTTCAATAGCAGCCTTCTTCTGACTGAATGTCCTAAAACACACAAAAAATTTGCTCATTACCAAAACAATAATGACAATAATTTTATGCAAGTTTATCAACACATCTTTAAGTAACACCTGGCAAGCTGTGTAAAGTAAGAGACGGTAGTTTACTCATACTTGTGTTTATAACTTGGACTCTGGAATTAAACTATTTAAGTTTAAAGTCCAATTTTACCTTGCACTGTAACATTACCCTATAGTTCCTTATTAGGAAGACCCCATGTGGGGGTTGGCAGAGCGGACATGCCAGATGAACTGGGGGTCTGGCAGATGGACTTTGCCAGCATTTGGGTGTGCCAGGTGGCTAAGACCCTGAAAGGCCCTTGGGCAGTCTTTCATTGTTTTTGTTCACACATTCCTCTAACTTGTGGTTGCTGTGAGGCTGAACACTGTGACACTGATGTATCAAATGCGTTAATGGCTGGTTACTCAGTGTGAACAGAGAGTGGAGTGGAGCTCCCCAATTAAAACAAGCTTGGAAGGAGGAGTGGCATCCACTTCCATAATAGCTTGCCTCCAGATACCTATGAACCTGGAGAGAGGACCCAAGCATTCAGGACTCTCCTTCATAGGGTCGCTATGAGTCCCCTGCGACTGACGGCACGTTTTAACAACAACAACAACAAGTTTAAAGTCCAATTTTACCTTGAACTTTAACATTACCCTGTAGTCCCTTATTAGGAAAATGAGGACAACAATGGTACACACCTCATAAGAATATTGCAAAAGTTTAATTAAAGTGTATAATGTACTTATAATAGTATCATTAGTTGCTGATAAGTCAGTTCTAATTCATGGCTACCCTATATACAAGAAAATAAAATAATGGTCTAGTCTTACGCTGTCTTCATGATCATTGGTATGTTTGAGTCTGTGGTTGATCTTTCATTCTGGGAGATGCCAGTATTTTCAGGACTTTATCACACAATATTCTTCTGTGACTTAAAAGAGTGTTCACTGGGTAATTTCAGAGTTAGATCACTAGATTTTTCTTCCTACTCTTTTCAAAGATTGAATTGAATACTCAGAAAAAAGATATTACTGAAAATTAAGACAAACACATTTTTTGGAGGAGGAGTGCATTTAGCATTTTATAAAACATAAAAACAAATATTCAAGTTATTTGTTTTTTACTTGTCACACTTAGATATAACTAACCTAAAGATAACTGAAGTCTTCAAGAAGTAAAAAGAATTCTTTACTTTGAACATGTATTCCAGCTAATTTAAAATACTGTCCTTAGTATCTGTCATTTTCTTAAACAGTTACATGTCTTCCACACAATTTCCTATCCCAAATAAAGTAAGTCAGGAGGATAACTATTCAAAATTAATTTATATTGATAAATTACTGGATATTAAAAATATTAATTATAATTTAGCATCTTGAGAACTGAGTTAAAAATCAATTCTATTAGTCTCTATGTAAAATGAAGACATTTGTTGGTATTTAATGTCAACTTCTAAAAAAAATTCTTAGTAAAATATTAGTGAATGCTATATTTTAAAAAAGGGAGCCTTGATGGTTTAATGAGTAACTCTGAAGCTGATAACTAAAAGGCTAGCAGTTCGAATCCATTAGTCATTATGTGGGAGAAAGAGGGAAGTTTTTTCCTGTAAAAATTTAGTTTCAGAAACTCAAGGAAGGGGTGCTTGAATTGAAATTGACTCAATTGCAGTAGATAATGAAAAAGAAAAAAAAAACACCACACCCAACTGTGCTAAGGTGTGGAGAATTTAAAACTTTCATACACTGATGATGAGAATATAAAATGGTATAGCTACTTTGGAAAATATTTTGGGAGTTCTTCAAAAGGTGAAACAGTCCTAGTGTTAAGATTCTCAATAGTTCTACTTCTAGGTGTATGACCACGAGAATTTAAAACATGTTCACACAAAAATTTGTAAATGAGTGTCCGTAGTGGTATTTTTCATGATAGCCAGAAAGTGAAAACAACCTAAATGTCCATCAACTTGTGAATGGTTAACAAGCTATGATACAAACATACAAAGGAATATTAGTCAACCATAAAATAAATTAGCAATACATGCTACAACATGGATAAACCTTGAAATCACACTAAGTGAAAGAACTCAGATATACCATATGTCTAGAACAGAAAAATTCATAGAAGAAGGAAGTAGGTTTACAGACATACTTTCTTTTATTGTGCTTTACTTTATAAAGGCTTTGATGATAAAGTTTGATTTTTTTTTTCTATCTATTGTGAAAAACATGTATGGGGATACAAGGGACTGAGTGTTGGGAGCAGAGAGGTGAGGATGGGCAGGGATGAAATTGCAGGGTTGCACAATCTGGTGGGCAGGGGGAGTAGGCAAAGGAAATGAGAGGGGACCAGAAGAGACAGGATAATAGTGAGCATGGTCCTATGGTGGTTAATTTTAAAAAAAACCAAAAAACTAAGAAATTGTCTTATTCACTTGCGGGTTTCTCATTTGGGAATGGGGAACAGACTCTCTGGCTTCTTCATGCTGAACAGGGGTGTTGATGTGAATGGGGAAGAGGGGGAGAGTAACCTACTTCAACACCTTACTAGTGGTTCTGAGTTGAAGCTGCTTGCCTTCTTGTTCTGTTAGAAGATATTTTCCTGACATTTACTGCCCTCTGGCCTGCAAAGTATTTGCCAAGGTGGGTGCAGTGGGGATGGCTGACTGAACCCTGAGACTACATGTTCCTTTGTTTCCTTAGCTGGAAGCTATATTTCCCTTTTGTCTCTGGAGTTCAGGGTTAAGGTCTTGAGTATAACTCAGTGTTAAGGTTACCTATAGGAAAGGGAGCAAACCTAGAGAGAGCAAATTTGTGAGTTAAAAATAGAAGGGCTTTGGAGGTATTACAGGTGTACTGGGGGAGAAGGTGCAGGAATGTGGCCTAGATAAAATTCTCTGTATAACCTAGGCAGTTTTCCCCATCTACCTGAAGGCTCTTCCCAGGGGTTGGACGGCACACCCTGAGGGCCAAATGGTTCACCCCGAGGGCCCAACAGCTCATCCCAAGGGCTCAATGGCTCTCCTCAGGGGCTGGACAATACACCCCAAGTGCCCAACAGCTCACCTCAGGGACTGAACGGCACACCCTGAGGGCCAGGTGACACACTCTAGGGCCTGGGAGGCACATCCCTTTACCGAAGTCCCCCCTCGCCCTGCAGGTCTGGGCCCTGTGCCTCACTTAAGACCATGGCCAGGGATAGCACCCCCAGTTCTGGTGCCCCCATTACCCCACTCCCCTTCACCAAGTGAACTGCAATTTGAAGTAGGCATCACTGCCCTCCCCCTTTATAAATGGAGAAGGGGAGTTGAGATTGGTGGACAGATACTCCCTAGGTCTAAACAGTTCTTGGCAGCAGTTGTCAAGAGATCAAAAGATGTAGTGTATTGAGGACATCTGCCATCTCAGATATGTTGCTGTTGTTAAGTGTCATAAAGTCACAGACAACTCAGAGACCCTTATCAATCCATTGTGTTGATGATCTTCTTCTCTGACCTGTCCAAGGAAATCTTCAATGACAGCGAGATGCGTTCCTTTAAGACCTTCACCTCTGGGGGCTCCATGGCGCCACCACTGCTGCTCTCACCATCGCCTGCCCCCCGCCCACCTCCTGTGCTGGGGTCCTCTAGGCTAGGGGACCCATGGGTAAAAGGTGGAAGCGGGACTCACCCAAGTTCCTCTGAGAATTCCCTTCCGCCTGATGTTGAACTCCAGTCCACACTGATGACCAGCAGCCAACTGCTTGGCTGTTTGGGCACATTTAATTGCATTGCCTGCTTCAGTGCGGCCCACTGGGCCTCCTGCTCACCATGCTGTGTCTCCTGCCACCACCATCTTGGTTCCAACAAATCTTCCTGGAACAAGTCTATTCTGAGGAAGTGTGGAGGCTCTGCAGCACCAGCCTCTGTCCGGTGCCTGCTGTCCATCCCAGGTGAGGGTATCCCTAGGGTCTGCCCACAGGAGCCTCATGGAGCTATGGGAGCCGCAGGACCCACCCATTCTTCTTTGGGAATCTTTGATCTCTTGATGTTGACCCTTGGTCTATACTGAAAACCAGTAATTGACTGTTTAATTGTTCAATTAGCAATAAACAGGAGACTGTAGAGGGCCACAGTGGCCCATTTCTATGAGGCTTGCTGTTCCTGCAGCTCCTTACGGTTTTTCCACCACTGCCATCACCTTGGTTCAGTTTGATTTTTTAACAAACTGAAAGTCTGTGCAACTCTATCAAGCATGTCTATTAGTGAAGTTTTCCATATTTTGATAATTATCACAATATTTTAAGCTATTCCCTATTTGCTTCTGTCCAAATAACAGACTAAATCCTACATAAATATAACCTTCTTTTTTAATTAATTTCAATGAACATCTACAGAGATTTTGGATTTCCATTAATTCACTGTTACACTTTTCTCCCCGCCTACCCCACCCTCAGACTGCTCTTCTCCTTGAAAAGCAAAAGAAAAACTCCTTCATTGGTATACATCCTCCCCACACTCCCCTACCCCCAACCCCACCCCGAGTATACTCCATTCTGCAAGCCTCATTCCGGACTCTTATGATAATCATAATGCCTTGGTATGTGCCATCAAGTCAAAAGTAACTCATAGCTGATCATCCAGTAAGTTTTTAGAGGTTGTAAATCTCACGAGAGAAGACTGCTCATCTTTCTCCCATGAAGCAGTTAGCTGGTAAATTCAAATTGCCTGTCTTTGGGTTGTCAGCACAATTCCTTATGCACACTAGGCTGCCAGAGCTCCCTGAAAGCAAAAAACTCATGTGAACTGCTTTACTGTGGTACTCACTCATAACTGTGTTACAGTCTACAATGTTACTAAGTTATACCTGGATTACATACCTGGGGTTTAGAGGCTGAGATAAATTTGGTATATTATTGCTGTGGTATTTTTCTTTTAACTAGTTAGCCCAATTCCAACAAGCCAGTTCTGACTCAAGGCATCCCAATGTGGCAGGAGCAGAACT